GGCAGTCTGCAAGTGGTGGTTATAGATCTAGTGGTGGATATGGTAGCAGAAGGTTTAAAAGAGAGAGAGAGAGAGCACAGAAAAAGGCTACAGTTCTTAGCAGGAGAGAGAGAGAGGCGTTGTCAGGAAAGCTGCAGTTTACTTTGAGACAGTCGTCCCAAGTGCATTAAAGGAACTGTAAAAATCTGTCACAGGCAGAATGATGATCCATAATCAGAAAAATTACTGTAGCTTACACAGGAAACCCTTCTTGTTCAGGACTGTCACAGCCACAGTTTACAAAAGTGCAGTTATTGATTAATGCAATGTAGTATCAATTAGGTGTACATTCCTGAGGTCTTTTATCTGTTGTAGCTTTTTCTTTTTCTTTTCATTACACCAGGTATATTGCCCTGTAAATTGTGGTAGTGATACCAGGAATAAAAGAAAAATGAATTTTTAATTTTTCAATATTTGTGTAGTTTGGTTTTTCCACATTGAACTACAGAAACTTTAACAAAATGTAGTTTTGAAGGTGTTTCCTTGTGATTTAACAAGTAAAGATGATCATTGTTAATTAGTATTTTGTATGAATTTTGCTAAAGTTAACTGTAAAGAAACACCTGCTGACTTCCAATTTAAGGTGAATCTATTGCCACATTTCCAAAACCATGATGAATGGGTACTGAGATATGGACAGAATAGATATTGTATGTTTGCAAGGTGTGTTTTAGATAATTAGGATTGGGTAATAAAAAAGAGCATATTTGTGAATTTAATAGCATTAAGATTACCTTCAAATGAAAAAGATCTCAAAAGCCAAAAAAAAAAAAAGTTCATCTCCAATTGACAGTTTATGTATAGGATCAGAAACACAAGTTTAACCGCTGACTTCATTAATAAGCATATTTTTAATGTTACATTTTTTATTAATTTATTTTTTTATTCATTACAATTTATTCAGTTTGTATCCCTGCTGTAGTCCCCACCCTTCCTCCCTCTTCTCCCATGCCCTCCCCCAGTCCACTGATAGGGGAGGTCCTCCTCCCCTTCCCTCTGACTCTAACCTATCAGATTTCATTAGGACTGGATGCATTGTCTTCCTCTGTGGCCTGGTAAGGCTGTTCCCCCCTCAGGGGGAGGTGATAAAAGAGCCAGCCCCTGAGTTCATGTCAGAGACAATCCCTGTTCCCATTACTATGGAACCCACTTGGAGACTGAGCTGCCCTGGGCTACATCTGAGCAGGGGTTCTAGGTTATCTCCATGCATGGTCCTTGGTTGGAGCATCAGTCTCAGAAAAGACCCCTGTCCCCATGTTTTTTGGTTCTGTTGCTCTCCTTGTGGAGGTCCTGTCCCCTTCAGGTCTTTCATCTCCCCCTTTTTTCATAAGATTCCCTTCACTCTGCCCAAAGTTTGGCTCTTAGTCTGAGCATCGGCTTCAGTACCCTACTGGGTAGATTCTTTCAGAGGCCTTCTGTGGTAGACTCCTATCTGTCCTGTTTCCTGTTTTCTTCCCCCTCCAATGTCCCTCCCATTTGCCTTTCTGAGTGAGGATTGATCATCTGACCCAGGCTCCTCCTTTTGCTTAGCTTCTTTAGGTGTATAGATTTTAGTATATTTATCCTATATTGTATGTCTAATATCCACTTATAAGTGAGTATATACCATGTGTGTCTTTCTGCTTCCAGGACACCTCACTCAGGATTATCTTTTCTAGTTCCCATCATTTGCCTGCAAATATCATGATTTCCTTGTTTTTAATTGCTGAGTAGTGTTCCATTGTGTAAATGTACCAAAATTTCTATATCCTCTGTTAAGGGACATCTGGGTTTTTTCCAGATTCTGGCTATTATGAATAAAGCTGCTATGAACATGGTTGAGCAAATTTCCTGGTTGTACACTTGAGCATCTTTTGGGTATATGTCTAGGAGGGATATAGCTGACTCTTGAGGTAGCACTATTCCTAATTGTCTGAGAAAGCATCAGATTGATTTCCAAAGTTGTTGTACAAGTTTACATTCACACCAGCAATGGAGGAGGGTTTCCCTTTCTCCACATCCTCCCCAGCATATGTTGTCACTTGCGTTTTTGATCTTAGCCATTCTGATGGGTGTATTAACAGTACATTTTAAACAAATAACTAAAATGGGTTCAGCAAAGTTCTTTGTAAGTATGACCCCACGATAGCAAAAATCTAAAAGCTTTACATTTCTGTCTCACTGAAGAATGTGGTGCTTTATATGGAAGCAGGGCCAACATGGAGATTGTCACCAAGACAGTTCTATAGTCTAAGCAAAAAGAAGCTAAAATCTAAGACCCAGACAGAAAGACAGAGGAAGAGAGAGACAGAGAGAGAGAGATAGAAAGAGAAAGAGGCAATAAAATATGTAATATTTCTCAGTTAGTAAAGAATATTTTATAAAAATTTACCTTTTTTATCTATGTGTATGTGCTTGTTCTTTTCTCATTACCTTGCAAAACACAGTTATTTTCCTATCTCTAGATATTATTCCATTTTAAACAATTTCAAGTGTTTAGATTCCAAATTATCATGAGGGTGTTGCCTTGAGGTGTTCTCTCTGTGTACCTCAGGTGAATTCCAGTCTATTCATATGCTATTCAATAGCTATAGTTTTCTTTTGTTTTTATACTTTTAGGATCCCTTGTCTGGAATGTTTCACAAACCATCAATTTCATTTGCTACAATTACTAATAAATATTTAACAAGATAATCTTATTCTTTAAAAATCATTCATTTACATAATTCTTTTTGCTTATTTGTGCATTTTGTTGACTTAAACTGCCCCCAACCAAATCTCCAGATTCAGATTTCTTGGAAATATAGATTTGGAGAGCTGGAAAGCATATTAAAGAGCATCCCCTCCAACTCCTTCATTTATGTTTGAGGACAGCAAGCCCAGAACAGGCAGATGAGTGACTTCGGGCACGTTTCCTACCAGTGGAACGGCCAAAAGCTGAAGCCAGGTCTTCTGATGCCCAGAAAGGAGCCAGGTCTCCTGATTTCTAATCCAAGGATCTTTCCATTACACACACTGACACTGTTCTTTGAGGCTGTGTTGTGCTGCTCATACTGATCAAGCCACTTTGAGAATGATCACATTGGTTAAACAGAACACCTTGATGACCTAGTCACCCAACACTGGGTCATGCCTGTGTAATCAGGCTACGTTGTACTCACTCACCCTTTCCTCCTGTCCTAACATCTCCCAGGCCCCTTGTTGATCTCACACTATCGATTACAACTCACTAATACTGTCTTCAAAGCAGTGTATGATGTTGCCCCCAACAAGCCTTTTAGAAAATTAATAATTTCACTGAACTTTATAAATGGAACAACTTATATAATATTAACTATGATCCAAGATCCATGCTAAGTACTATGTATATTTTAAATATTTCCTATCATATTAACTTGCAAAGCAGACACAATGATTAACTCTAAAAACAACACACAGAGAGTCTGGGGCCAGGAAGTGACCACTGGCACTCAAGCATCAACATACTCTGTAGAGCTGCTACTCTGAATTTCTGTATCACAATTCCAGTGATCACTTAAACCAGCAGCCGATGGCTGAGCCATGGAGGCAACAACCCCCTCTATTTGATGAAGTTAAAAGGCACAGCTTTTTGTTTTGTTTGTTTGTTTGTTTGGTTAGTTGGTTGGTTGGTTGGTTTTTCGGGGCAGGGTTTCTCTGTGTAGCCATGGCTGTCCTGGACTTGTTTTGTAGACCAGGTTGGCTTTGACCTCATAATGATCTGCCTTCCTCTGCCTCCATGAGTTCTGGGATTATAGGCATGTATCACTGTGCCCAGCCAAAAAGTACTTCAGAATTATTACCAAGTGCAAGTCTCTCCCTTCTGTTAGAGAAAGGGTGGGCTAGAGGGCCTGGCTTGGGGAAAATGGGTCCTGAAAACCTTTCTGAAGGGTATGTTCTCTATATCCACATTTGGTAGTTCTGGTTAAACCATAGAGTTGTTCAAAATGGGGTGCTGCTGGTGAAGAAAAAAATAAATACCTTTCCATAGCCAAAAACTTTTAAAATTAGCAAATAAGTATAAAAAGCCAGGATAAGCAGGAAAAAAAACTCTGCAAAAGGCTAATGGATTCTCAACCTTTGCTAGATTTTAGTCAGAGGGGTGCTGTATGTGAACCCCATCTTAGCTAGAGAGTGAAGCCTGCACTTGGCAGGATTGCTTCAGTGATAAATAGTGTACATGGATCCACTCAGCCAACCACAGAGCACCACAGCAGCTCTGCTTATTCAACAGTCCAATCCTACATCCTGAAAACTCTGTAGGGTCAGAAAGTTGTGTCTCACTCTTCTTTTCTGGGGAAATCTGTTACTGGGGATGCTATAGCTACTTATGTGAAAAGCCTTTAAACGTACAAATCTATACCCTTCATTGCTGTACTTTCATCATTAAGTCTTCAGACAAATGAAAAGACACCTTTAGCTTTCAATATCATTTCTCTCAACAATATTTTTCCCAAAAAGACATTTAAAACAAAACAAAACAAAATTTAGTTCAAAGCTAAATTAGTCTAGTCAGCCCATTTGAACAAACATAGGTGTTCTCCCTGAGTTTCAGCACTCAGCAATTTTGGAAGGTGTGTGTAAAAGTAGGGCAAGAAAGACAATTTTAGAAGCAGATTTCACAGAGCCAGCAGCCTGACCCAAAGCACAAGTCAAAGTGGTCAGCTGCAAACCCACGAGTCAAAAATAATCAGACCAGAACAGAAATGGTATAAGCAACTTGACCACAGATTTTCACATTCCACTGGAAGATGCTGGAATATGAAACACAGCTAACATGAGAAGCACTGGGAAATTAATTTAAATTTCCACAGGCTTCGGATTTCCCAGACGACAAATCCCAATAAAGAAGGTCTTTCTTTCCCAGGTGCGGTCACATGCTTGGGAGAAGGACACTATGAGAGGAGGTGAAATGCACAAGACGCTGTTATCTCTATTCACAACGTGATATCTTATAACCTTACCTAATAGGTTGGTTAGCCACAAGGCCAAGTCCTCTTTCATCGGCAACAAATTAGCTTCATGTCTGCTGGCCAGCCACTGGCTGTACTGATGCATATCAGACAGGCCAGGCCCGCTGCGAACCTTGGGGCTCAGGGTCGTGCACATCATTTATCCACTCCCAATACCTGGTGTGAAGATAAAAGAGCAACAGATTTCCGTACAAGTTAAGAATTAAAAACTTTCACTACCATGATATTGTACTGGGCCTCATCCATGGCCTTAGGTGATGTCTGCTAGGGCTATTAATTATTAAACCCAGGAGATAGTATTTGCTTTATTCATCTGGCTCTCTAACTTTGGGCAGGTACTTGGTAACAGAAACAATCAAAGGTCAAAGAGAAAATCAAACAATAAATGCTAAGTTCATGTAAAACAATGTATTTGCAAACAGTCACAGTAAAATGTGGTTAAACTGAGATTTTAGTATCTGACTTTTTTTCCCCAGACACAAAGCTTTATTAAGAGATAACTCAATAATAAATTCAGTTGTCTCATTATTTTTTCTGTGTCTGACTTTTTTGAAGCCAGAGATTTCCACAGAATTTAAGTGTTGACCCTGAGCACTGACAGTATTCACACAGTTTATAATAAACGCTTGGGAATTGTTGGTAAGACTGCTGCCAAAATATTAAGCACAGCATGCAGTTCACTGGTGATGGCCACACTCATTCAAAGTTCCACAATTAAAGCAGTAAGTGTTGGGTAGAAGAGGAGGTATGTTCAAGGAGTCTCCACTACAATTCTGAAAATCACAGAAGGCCAAAATCAGAAAGGGCCAGTGGCATAAGCAATCTGACTACAAGGCATCACAACACAGTTAGGCTAGAATCTTGTTCTTCAGACCCCGAGAATTTTTTCCATGAAGACAGTCTGACAGAATGCCTTAGGAAAACACTGCTCTAACAAGCTCTGCCTTCGTGGCTTTTGCTCCTCTACCATGATTTCCTCCTTGCTCTGTATCTTCCTGATTTTTGTTTTTACATATTGAGTTTTGTTTGTAACATTTTAGAGAAGAAGTACTTCAGTGTTTTACTTCTGAAATTAGAAGTGACAGAGAATTTGCTTTGCATATTAGATATCTTGTATTAATACACAGCACAATAATGATAAATAAATAAAATAAAATTATTTCATAACCTGATTACTTCATTGTATGCATAGCATAAATCTATATTTGAGTGATAAAGTATTTAAATAAATATTTTAAAGTATGGAAATATATTTAATTAAGTACTACATTATATCCTTAAGTATATCATCTTTCTAACTTTTTTTTTTTCCCAAGGCAAAATTACAATTAACCCAGGGTGGCCTCAGAAATGCTATAAAGTTAAGAGTGACCTTAGCCTTCTGATTTCTCTATCCCATCTCCTGAATTCTGGGATTGCAGGTGTGCCCCAGGCTGGTATACGGGGTACTGGGAAACAATCCCAGGGCCTTTCGCACACTAGGCAAGCATTCTACATCTACAGGCCCCATATGAATTATTTGTAAAACCTGATACTAAGTAAGTAAAATAAATATACTAAAGCAGTCTTTTATTTGATATAAAATTATTTCCCTTTTGTCCAAAACAGCTCAATCATTTCATTTAGAGTTATTTTATCATGGGACCTGCTCTGGCTACAAGTCAGTATGTACATAAAATAGCCAAAGGAAGTATAACCAAATGACAATAAACACAAGAGTATTTGCAACAGGCAAGTCATTAGATGCATATGACATCCTGGATATTTCATCTAAGCATTTTGAAGTGACTTTAGGGTTTTACTCTTTCAAACTTTGCACAGTACTCCAATGTAGTTACTCTCAACTCTAATTTATTTAGGTTAATTTCTTTTAAAAGTTTACTTTTGAATTATTAAATAAATAATGATTATTTATCTATTTTTGTTTTTTTAAATTCAAAATGTGGTTATCTTCAAAATCTTAGAAAAGCCTTTTGGGAGAGGTAGTAAATATATAAAGTATATAAAAATATACAGCTGAAAGGTACAATTTCATTTTTTATGCACATAATCTTGACATTCTCTAAGCATCTGAAGTGAAACGTTAAGGTGATCTGTGTTTACTATACCTTGTCATAGGCTACAAGTTTGTCAACCTAAGAATTAGAATGTTGCTGTTGTTTATTCTCTTTCAGTTAATGAGTGTTGCTCAGAGTTTCTCTAAACTTCTGTGATTAAAAATTAAAGAAAAAAACACCTGAAATATTTTCAATCCAAACTTTTTAAAAATTATGTTCATTCCAGCAAAATAATACCTCTGTGTGTAGCTAACTGGGATACTACAGGATAGTTAGCCTGTCAACATGCATGTAATCAATCATACATCTAAGCACATGAGTTACATTTAAAGAGCTAATTGAAATCTTAAAAGGGTTACCTCTAAAAAGCCTTCCTTCTCAAGACACAATCTCTCCCACTACTTCCCTGAAAGTGAGATATGGTCTCGCAGTAATTCTACCTACACCCTATTGTATGCCCTGTTACTCCCATTGAAGCTTCGGAGCCCTGTGTTGCTCTACAAAGGCAAGAAGACGCCTCGGGTTCTGAAGCTCATTGTCCAGCACAGACTCCATCAGGGGATCGCTTACAGTGAGCCTAATGGCATGCAACAGTTCCAGCGAGGCAGAGGGACACAATCCTTCCCCTCAACCTTGCTCAACAGTGAAGTTGTTATTTTGCCTTGACAGTAGCACCTTTATTTCTCATGCAATCTCTCTTGTGTTTCACCAGAAATGTAATCCAAACTATCTCCTAATATGGACAGATAAATTAACTAAAATCAGTAAGGATAATTAAGCTAGTTTTATTTTGATACCTTGTACATAACCACAAATTTAGTAGAGACAGTCAGTAAAAATGGGGTCAGATTTCCCCAGAGGCTTAATGGGTAATTTAAATACTATAAAGATTAAATAACTAACCTATGACAAACACAAAGAGACACAAAGGTATTTTAACAGAGACTACTCGTCTAAGTCCTCTCTAAAAAGAACAAAGATAGGAAACCTAATTTCTCCCCCTCTATTTTCCATATTTGAAGTCATCATTACACTGAGCACAACTCAGTAAGTTTCTTAAAGTCTCTATACTCAGGCCTTAGAATTGGCTAAAATCAGGTAGGAAACAGAAATGGATCCAGCTAGGAAAAAAAAAAAAAAGTATGGAGTCTGAGAAATTCACCACATGGTGAAACAAACTGTCATTGAAATGACTGAAATGGAAAAAAAAAAAAGAGAAAAAGGGGAAACAAGGAAGATGGAAGGAAGGAAGGAAGGAAGGAAGGAAGGAAGGAAGGAAGGAAGGAAGGATAGAAAGTAAGAAGGAACGAAAAGCACAGGGGTGAAGGGAGGGAACAAAGAAGGAAAAGAGAAGAAAAAGGAAAGAAAAGATACAATAATCACAGTAGATGGAGGGCTTGGAGATAGAAGACAAGGTGTAGGGAAAAACAGGATATGGAAATTGAGATGATCAAAGTATATTAAAACATGAAAAATGTCATAATGAAACACATTAGTTATACAATTAAAAAATGATAAAAATGAAAAAATAAAGATACGAATCTCTTAGCAGATACAACCTAGTTAAACTTTAAGTTTTTTTTAAGTTCATACTAGTTGAATAAAAAGATAAGTTTGGAATTTGATCCTTTTATAATTTGTAATAAATACTGATGAACTGAGTTAGGTCCTAAAGAAAAGTTTAAGGACAAGATCATGCTAATTCTTTGGAGCACTTTTAAAGTTTCCAAGACTACAAAACATGTCAGTAGTAAATTTAAATACAGGAAATGAAATGATCAATGACACACTGAACACAACAGTCAGAATAAGAATAAAAACTTTTAATATGTAAACAATGAAATAAATTTTCAATGAAATTTATGTAATCGAAATATTTTAAAGGATCAATCAACTTTGTTTAGTATTAAAGTCAACTAATTGAAAAAAGTAAGACCTCAAATGCATGTACGAGTTCACTAAATTGGAGCTCCTGCAGGCTTTCTGCATCTAAATGTCAGTAACTTAACTGTCAGGACTTGAAATGAATAAAAATTAAACCTTACAGTGAAAAACATGCAGAAACATCCACAAAATCCTTCAAAGATCCTGTGTTTCCCCTTCTTTCCATAGCAAAGGGGACTCTGGAATAGCAATTATGAATGTGATGAGACATGGATGACCCCAAGGGAAGGAGGAAGAGTTAATGAGCCTGAAAGTTAAACATCATGTTGAAAGACTGTCTAGCCCATTACTCTAGAATACAGCTCAAAGTGTATATTTTACTCTGAGGAGGAAAAAAAAAGAATTCTTCCATCCTCCTATGGGGTACTTTAATTATGGTCAAAATAGTTTCTCCTATCTCTAGACTGGCATGACAGAGAAAACATATTACAGTATTACACAGAAAATAAATTGTAAAGAATGAAAAAACAGAAGCACAAGGGAATAAACAGAGTGTTTGGGTCTGTGTGCCAGGAGTCTATGCTCACTGTAACAAATAGGTGGCTATAGCTACTGTGCAAACTTCTTCTGTGTCTCACTCTCTACCTCCAACCCTCTCATCTCCTTTTCAAAAACAGTGCTGACTTCACTTCGAACCATTAGGTTTTAAGTGTTAAAGGTTCAAAACAATGCAGAAATAAGGATTATAGGTCATTAACACTGTCCTTTAAAATTAAAAACAAAATGAATGTGTCAATCCAAAAACTCTTCCAGAATCTAGGAGAAAATGTCATTTTGTTTAGACTCAAAGAATGAATAGCCAAGAAAGGTGTATTCCATTTCCTGAGAACCTTATTGTCATGTGACTTATTTTGACCAACCAAAAACATCTCTGCAAAATGTAGATCCTCAACCAATGTTCAGAACGCAAAATGTTTTCCTGTTGTTTTTTTCTTGTATTAAAAACCGACTTTTTTTCTCACATAATAAATCCTGATTATGAATTCCCCCCTTCTACTCCTTGTTTTGCTCCACCTCCCCTCCTGTTCATATCCACTCCTGTCTGTCTCTCATAAGGATACTGTTACTATTATCAGTTTATGTTTTAATTTTGTTTCACTATATAGCCCAGTTTCCCCAACCCAATATGTAGCCCACCTAGGCCTAAAATTTGAAGTGTGCCTGCCTCAGCCTCCCAGGTGCTGAGATCACATGTCTGCATCCTTATTCCAAGTTATGAATGTGAAATCTAGTTCAAGAGCCTAATCAGAAAATAAAGTCCACAATTTAATCCATAAAGGCAGTTCTAGATATTGTAGTGAGACAATATCTGTCAAGGTACCAAATCAAAATAAATTGAGCAAATATCAAGCAAAATAATATGCAGCTTTAGTTAACTGACTAAGGAATAGACACAAAAGGCTCTTGGAAAAGCCATGAAGACAAATTCTCAAACATTCATAAGAGACTGGTGGCCCAGGAAGATATTTTGCCCAAAGTAATGGGGTATTCACACAGTCATTAAATTTTTGTACCCTCCTTTATCTAGTCTGTGTTGCTAACTCTTCAGGCATCTCTTTCTTACTGACAGATCCATGGTGACTTATCTTGAATAAAATGATCACACACACATATTCACGCACACATGCACCCATTCACATGCGCGCGCACACACACACACACACACACACACACACATATGAGCACTCGAACACACATGCACAAGTCTTTCTCAAGAAAAAAAATCTTTCTGGCAGTTGAGATATTTTTAAGTTGTTCTCAAAATCCTACTAAACCGTTCTTCCCAACAGTGAAGCACAGACTTTTCGACCTCTGCCATATTAAATTGAGACACAATCTAAGTAGAAAACCATTTAAGATCATTAATTGGAAATTGTTGTGGCTCACATCAGAAGTTTATGTAAGCTGAATTGGCAAGCCTTCATTTGTGAGAAGATTTGCATGTTCATCACACAAAAATTACATTGTACCTCAAATATAGCAATGAACTATCAGAATTCATCATACTCTTCAGATATATATGCTACACATACAAATATATTTCATGTAAAGAAAAAAATAGCAAAATCTCCTTTGAATTGCTACTGAAAATAAGTAATCCAAGAAGTTAGCAAGCACCTTAACCCACCTTGACAAGAGATACTTCTGCTCTCCCTCCTGCTCTTTCTTCTCTTCTAACTACACTGAGCAGAAAACTTTGGTAACAGTTCAAGAAAAAGGAAAGAATTTGGCTCTTGTTTGAGACACAATATCAAAGCTACAAAACCACAAAAATAATGCTACAATTTCTACAGAAATGTCAAACAAAACTTCCTGGAAACCCGTTAGAAGTACACCAGTTGTTTTAAGCAGCACAGGTATTTCCAGGGCTCCTGCACAGCCCACCAGTCCTGAAGCAGAGTTCTAAAAGGCATGTTGCTGCAGGTTAAATTAAGCCCCGAAGTTTCACCACATCTCCAAACTCAAACTTTAACTAATGTTGGTACCAAGATGCTAGAAAACTTGTTGTGGGGCAGGGGTGCTATCACAAGTCTTTTGACCAGAATGAAGTGAATTCTGCCGTGTGGATTTATTTCCCAGCAAAGCGGTTTATAGCACAAAGTAGGGTGCTTATGGATAAAATGAAAAAGATACACCTAAAGCTCAGGGGCACAGGGCCGAAATCCAAGCTACCTTTCCCAGTCAGAAACTTCTCAGGCTGCCCTCAGCACTGGCTCTTCTGTGTCTGGTTAAGCACTGGGTCCCCAGGCTTGGTTCCTCTGGTTCTTACCTTGTCTTAGGCAGTCAAAACCTGAACACCCATGTTGGAAAGGAACACCACCACCTCGCTCTCCACAGCTAGAGCAGGGCATTCCCTGAAGAAGGACTCATTGATGGATGCCAAAGACAAGCTAGGCAAGCCAGATGTGAGCTGTAGTTCTGAGCACAGAGTAAGAGGTTGGGGGAAAGCAGCAGGAGCACAGGGTTTGTTCTCAGCCCTGCCTCTCAGAGTCTCTTGGGACAGGTGTGAAGGAAAGGACTTCCTGTGCCTGGCTGAGGCTCCCAACCTGTCTGAGCCTTTATTTAACACCAGGAGGGCAACTGGGTGTCCCTTTAAACACATGGGTCTTATTTCCTCTGCCTAAAATCTCCTGTGCACAATTAGTCAAGCTTTGTTGGAGAGGTTTGGGGTGGTAGGTAGGGAGCTGATAAAAGCAAAAATGAAGGAAAAAATGGAAAAAAACAAAAACTGTAATTAAAAAATTGTAATTAGAAGTAAAATCCACCCCCCTTCTATGTGTATTAGAATAGAGAAAACAGAATGCAGAGCACTGACTTCGCTCCCATTCTGACCCCACACTAGAAACTGGATGTCTGGACCAAGTCAATCCTCTACAGAGTTGTTTGCCAGAGTAATTAAGGCTTCAGGAAAAAAAAAAAAAAAAAAAACTCCTTTGCTCCCTAAACAGACTCCAATCTGGGCTAAAAATGAAACACCTCATCGAAATACAAAATTATGTATAGATAAGTTAACGTTTGTTCAACTCTACCCAACTCCTTCACCGAAACAGTCACCCCAAATTGCTTTGCGACCTCTCTTTCTTTTGTTCCCATAAACTCAAACCGTCAGGTCAGGAAGTGTGACTAAGACCAACAAGCCCCCCACGTCCCTCTACACCCCCCACAACCGCAGAGAGCATGCACAGCGTCACAGGCACGCTTGAGCATCACACACGTGTACGTTTACATCCACACGCTAACTTCCTCACTTCCGCCCCTGGTTGGCTGAGCGGTCCCAGCGGGCTTCATGCGCTGCCCAACAATAGGGATGGAGAGATGGAGGCTGTTTCCAGGGCATCAGAAGGTCCCCCACTGCAGTGAGCACAGCTCACCCTTGGTGCTGCACGGGTGCTGCTTCCAGGTCCCTCCCTGCGCCTGTCTGCAGTAGCTCAGCAGCAAGTCCCCTCTTGGCGGCTTGCTCACCAAAGCAGCTGCTCCCTGCGGCTCCTCTGCAGCAGTTCAGCAGCACCCGAGCTCCGGGCTGCGCCCCCAAGGCTCCTCCAGACGTCGGTCCAGTGGCCCTGGCTCCTTGCAGGCTAGCAGCACGGTGGTGGCAGCTGTGGCCTCACCGCCCCTCTTCATACTTCTGTGATGGCTCCTCTTGGTGCTGTTTGGGAAAATGATTTTAATTCCTCTCGCCAGAAACAGATTTCCTACATTTCATCACTCCACACGGACCGAGCGGAAGTAAAAAGCTTACTTTTTTTTTTCCCCGGCTGGACAGCAAACGCGGTTGACACTGATTTACCCTTCAAATGGGAGAGATTGTATTACAAGCCCTTGGCAGCAATTCCGAGTTGGGGCCAACCTCCAGCCCCTTGCCTGTCCCCCAAACACTAACCTAGCAGAGAATGGGTGGAGAGCTGGGAAGGGATCAAATTTAACTTCAGTGTTTTAACAGTCAATGACTTTAGCACAATGTTAAAACTGGGTGTTGGAAAGTTATTTTCCTGGTCTGTGAGTTTACACACTCAGTGGCATGAGCTTTCTAGTAACTTGGGATAGTGTTCATTCCAAATAGAAGAATGCAATGTCTTAAAATTTTCTATTTAAACATATTTTAGAAGTGTTTGCACCCGGAGCTGTTTGTACTTTAAAATGAAGTGTGATTGTGTTTCCTTCTCTCCGCCACAGCCCAGTGTTGTGTTGACATCACAGACAATTCAAGCCAACTGCTGTGTATTCGGATGTGAACTTTAAGATGAAAAGGTTTGCGTGGAGCAGGCAGATGTTGCACTGTCTGGTTCACCTCTAAAGGACAGGGCCCTCTAGCCAAGTGTCCGGTTTTTACTTCCCAAAAAGTCTGGTACAAGGGCTCACCCTGTGAACGTCTCCACCCAGTGTGCATGACTGCAGCACACAGTATTCCCTGATTCTCAGATAGCAAGTGTAAAACCTAATGAGGCATGCTCACATCCCTTATCAGAAAACAACAAAACCAATTACCCATAAATCTGCAAGAGCAAACTACTGCACACAATTTTAGCTGCCTTTGAAAATGCATTATGCATTTATTATTGCTTCCATCTGGATAGGTTATTTGCTCTAAAATATCCAGAATGGCACGTTATTTGCATGCAGTGACAGTACAAACAAAAAGAAAAAGAGAATAGGAAGACTTAGGATACTGAAAATTTTCGTTTCAGTCAGACTTGCTATTGCAACTGTTGGTTCCACAGTCCTCCTTAGCACCCCAAAAGGATAATCCCTTGAATTGAGAATGGACAGCACCAAAATTGACAACAACAACCAGACAGAACTTGACCTGGTGAACTGAAATCCATAACATCATTGCTCAGTTAGACCAGGTTTGAGTTCAAAGAACCCCACAAAGCATTTTGAATTTCTGAACCTGTGCACTTGACATAAAAAATTACATCCTTGATAAATTTTTATGATTCAAACATCATTATCCAGTGAATGGTAATGTATATGTTTTCAGGAGCTATCACAAGAGTTCAAAATGTTTACCACCTTGAACTTTCAAAATCTTATATTCTATCTTCTCTTAGATAAAATAATCTTGTCTTATTATTCATTACTTCAGTTATAAATAATGAGTTCAGATGTATTTACTGATTCAGGATAATGGCAAACCTGGTTCAAAAAATAAGGAGGCTTTCAAGGGCACTGAAGTACCCTTATCACACACACTGCCTGCCACCCCATAATCCATCCTTCCCATATTTTAAGTTTTAAATTATGCATCATGTCAATGCCTGACCTTCAAGACAGATCCAGTAGGAAAATACCAGAAGCAACAGGGAACTTTCATTTTCTCCCTCACTTACCTTACAGCTATGCTAAATATACTCTTTTTGTGATGAAAGTAATATAGCACAGGGGTTCTGAAGAGGCATTGTGGCGGTTAGTTGTTGTTTCCCTTTTATTGAAAATACATTTTTCTCACATATCTTCAATATAGTTTTCCCTCCATCCACTACTCCTTGTTCCTCATTTCACCTCTCATCCAGATGTACCCTCTTTCTGTGTCTCATTACAAAACAAACAGGCTTATAAGGGATAATAATAAAATAAAATAAAATAAAATAAAATAAAATAAAATAAAATAAAATAAAAACTAACACATCAGAGTAAGACAAAATAAACAAATGGAAGGAAAAGAGCCCAAGAAGACAGCATAGGAATCAGACTCACTCCCTTGCACACTCCTATAAAAATTCTCAACTGGAAACCATATTTATATACGAAAAGAATCAGTGTGTTAAAAGGAAAGAAGAAAATGTTAAGGAAAAAAAAATTTAAAAAGGAAAAACTGACATACCAGTTCAACTACTCCATAATCAATGAGTTGTGTCGGTGTTGTCATAAGCAATGGAGCCTTGTCATTAATTTGTGGAGAGCAACCTATGGCACTGGCAATAGTACGTGTTCTTTGGGAGGTTCAAATGAGATGATTTTGGCCAACTGCTCAATTAGATGTGATCCAGTCCCAGGACTGAAATCTTCATTTATTGAAAAGAGATGGCAAGTTGGTGCTATTTCCCCCCAATATTTGGGGATTTCATTTAGATAACCTTCATATATTTTAGGAAGCTTCTACTGTATTAGGTTTCCACACTATCCCTCAAATGGCCCTTCTTTTCAGCTGTCTTCCCATATTCCCTCCCTTATCCCTGTCTTTCCACCTCTCCACTTAATCCTCTCATCCTAGTCTTTCTCCCCATCCATCCATAACTATATATATTCTATTTTCCTTTACTAGGGAGATCTATCTGCCCCTTGCCCTGTATATCCAACCTCCATTTCATAGACGGTAGCTTGGTTATCATTGACTTAACAGCTAATAAGAAAATATATGCTACATTTGTCTTCTGAGTCTTTACCACCTCTCTTGGGATTTTTTTTTTCAAGTTCCATCAATTTACATGTCAATCTCATGATTTTGTCTTTTAATGGCTGAGTAATACTCCATTTTATAAATATAACACATTTCCTTTATCACTTCTTCTGTTGAAGAGAAATCTAGATTGTTTCCAGTTTCTGGCTATTATGAATAAAACAGCAGTGAACATGGTTGAGCAAGTATTTCTGTATTAGGATGAAGTGTCCTTTGAGTATATGCCCAAGAGTGGTAAACTGAATCTTGAAGTAGATCAATTCAAATGTCCTAAGTAAGCACCAGACTGATTTTGATAGTGGCTGTGCAAGCTGGCACACCCATCAGCAATGAATGAATGTTTTCTTTGCTCCACCTTCTCATCAGCGTATATCACTTGTTTTATGGATCTTAGCCATTCTCATGGCTAACTACTTTAAGATAAAATAAAGATAAAGAGAGGACCCTAACTAAAATGTTCAATCCCCATCCTGAAAGGCAAAGAGGATGGACATCAGAAGAAAACGAAAATAGGAAACAACCTCAGAACCTGCTACAGAGGGCCTCTGAAAGCCAGAAGAAAACAGGAAACAACCTTGAAACCTGCCACAGAGGGCCTCTGAAAGCTTCTGCAGTATAGACTGTCAAAGCAGATGCTGAGTCTGATGGCCAACTGATGGGCAGAGTGAATGGAATTTTATCTAAGAAGTGGGAAATAGTAAGAGCTGGAGGGGACGGGAACTCCACAAGGAGAGCAACAAAACAATATAATTTGAACACAGGGAACTTCCCAGAAAATCATACTCCAACCAAGGACTATTCGTGGAGATGACCTGGAACCCCTGCACAGGTGTAGCCCATGGCAGTTCAGTGTCCAAGTGGTTTACATAGTAATGGGAAGAGGGACTGCCTCTGACATAATCTGATTGGCCTGCTCGTTGATCACTTCCCCCTGAGGGGGGAGCAGCCTTACCAGGCCACAGTAGAGAACAATGCAGCCACTTTTGATGAGAACTGATAGACTAAGATCAGAAAGAAGAGGAGAACCTCCCCTATCAGTGGACTTGGGGAGTGACATGCATGCAGAAAGGGGAGGGAGGGTGGAATCGGGAGGGGAGGAGGGAGGGGCTTATGGAGGGGATACAAAATGAATAAAGTGTAATTAATAAAAAATTAAAAAAAAAGTCAAAAAAAAATAAAGATAAAATCTCAAAGTAGTTTTGATTTGCATTTCCCTGGTGAATAAGGATATTGAACATTTCTTAAAAGTGTTTCTCAGCCATTTTAGATTCCTTCCTTTGAAATTCTGTTTAGATTTGTATCCCAATTTTAAATTGTTTGTTGTCTTGATATCTAGTTTTGTGTGTTCTTTATATATTTTGGATATTTGCCCTCTGTCAGATATGTAGTTGGTAAAAATCTTTTCCCATTCTATACACTGCCACTTTTCTCAAATGACAGTGTCTTTTGCTCTACAAAAGCTTTTTAGTTTCATGAGCCATTTAATAATTGTTGATCTTAGTGCCTTCATTAGTGATGTTCTGTTCAGGAAGTCTTCTCCTGTGCCAATGAGTTCAAGGCTATTCCCACTTTGTCTTCTATCAGAGTCAGTGTATCTCAATTTATGTTTAGGTCTTTGATCCACTTGGAGTTGAGTTTTGTGTAAGGTAATAAGTATGGATCTATTTGGATTCTTCTACATGCAGCCATCCAGTTTAACCAGCACCATTTGTTGAAGATGGTATCTTTTTTCCCAGTGTGTATATCTGGTTTCTTCATAAAAACCAGGTGTACATAGGTATGTGGGTTTATGTCTGGGTCTTCAGTTCAATTCCACTGATTAGTGTCTGTGTTCCAGTGCCAATGTCATGCTGTTATTACTCTAGCTCTGCAGTACAATGCACAATTAGGGATGGTAAGACTTTAAGCACTTTTTATTATTCATGATTGTTTTAGCTATCCAGGGTGTTTTATGTTTCCCTATAAAGCAGAAAATTGTCCTTTCAAGAGCTATAAAAATTGTGTTGGAATTTTGATGGGAATTGCATTGATCTGTAGATTGTTTTTGGTAAGATGGCCATTTTACTATGATAATCCTACCACTCCATGAGTATGAGAGATTTTCCTATCTTCTGATATCTTCTCCAATTTCTTTCTTTAGTGTCTTAAAGTTTTTTCCATACAAGTCTCACTTGCTTTGTTATAGTTACCCCAAGATATCTTATTTGAGGATATTGTAAAAGATGTTGGTTCCATATTTCTTTTTT